CTTTTTCGCACTATGGTTGGGGATTACGGCGGATTAGGGATTGTTGAAGCATATAGCTAAGCGCCGTTCATTCAAATTTCGACTTCAACAAAAAACCCCAAGACGTAATTGTGGCACTATCTGGAAGCATGATTCAACTGTGAAGCAAAAAAAGGTAAAAAAAAATCGGCCCCCGATACTTTTGCTTATGGAAAAGCTACAAACCGTGGGAGCGCGAAGTACGTTGAGAAGGTACTGGCTGTCTCACAATCCAGTGTTTTTTTAACATAAAGTTACGATTGCTGATATATTTACTTACGTAAAGAATAGTAGGAATTGGTGGGAAGAGTAATGTTGCGAAAGGAACAAGGGGTTAACAGCAAGGAAATGAAGCTGCCGGCTAAACCCCTTCGCCTTGTCCAGTTACCTTCGGTTCCGTGTGATATATGTCCCGTCCCTTGGCTCTAGTTCCTCCCTCCGTGATATTTAATGTGATGATTAGAAATGAAATGGGGATTGTTTTTTTGTGTCCCAGAAATTATGCGGCGGCAACTTGGATCTACTGCCAAGCACCTTCGCGGTTTATTATTTCTTTTGTACTAATAAAGTTTTATTTGCTAATCGGGCCGAGAGTCAGCCTACAACGGCTCAGGCTTCCGACCGCCCTCCTCCTCGTTACAGTGGTGAGGTAGAAACTTAGAAAATTTCACGCTGATTTTCCGGTGATTTTGATGATATTTTACGTTGAAAGTTTTCCGCAAATGCGTTCGGAAACCATGGTAATTTTTCGCTTTCAAGATTTTACGCTAATGGATCGAACTTTGCTTGACTGATAATAAGATATTTTTGTGTTTTTTTGCAGGGTATACGAATTCTTGATAACGAATTGGTGAAAGCGAAGGAAGCCAGCGAGAAGGATGTAACCCGAATTTATACATTATACTTGAAAATTGGACATATAAGTTTGTTGGCAAGGGATTTTCCACGAGGTAAGCAAACTTGCTGTTCTAGTTTTATGATATTCGAATATCTTATGCTATAATAAAGAGAAGTTTTAGTCTGAGAAATGATAAGGTACCATCGAATAAACGATAAATGGCATTCGTGGGATAAAGAAGGTCATAATGGAATTGGGCATCTTTTTTATGTCTACTTTTAATGGTTACCCAATTCCATTTCATGGTTTGGTTCTTCAGTTCTACTGCTCGCAGCTTTACCAGTTGCTTTGACCAGTACTGCATTGCATGCCCTACATGCGAGCACGTGAAATTTGACGTAACTCCGCGACCAAAGCAACAGCAGGAGCGCTGAAATTTTCTAAGCTACCTGTACCGCTAGGGGAGAAGGGGAGACGGGTAAAGGTGGCAGCGCTACAAAAATCTGGGTCAAAAGCTAAAACTGAAGAAAACTCTCTTCCGCGCTCCCTCTCGCCTGCCCTTCCTCACTTCTCCCCGATTAGTCGTCGATAGAAGCTTCGCTTGTGGCCACCCCCCTCTCCCCTACACCCCCCCTCCCCCTTGCCCCCTGTCTCGTCAAGGAGGCCGACCTGGACCCGCCCTTAGTTGTCAGTGCATACATACCTATGTATTCATATGCACCAGTTCTCAGTATCTTTATTTTTTATGAAAAGGGGGCATTTGTAGGGTTTACTTTGGGACTTATCGTTTATTCATGTGTTATTGGTTTTCATTTTTCAGCTTTATCAGCTTATCAGAAAGCTTACAACCTGAACAGGGATGCATTCTGGAGTGAACCGGCATCATATTTTGGCTTGGGAATGGTCTACTTTCATTTCAAAGC